AGGCCCAATGAGAGGAGATGAGAAGCCAAAATTAATAAGCTGGCAACGTAAACAGGATGAGAAAAACTAAAGCCGTCCTTCAAATGAATGGGTCAGGCTAAGTTTAAACCACTCTGGACTGCAATTTGTGAATCCTTCTTCCTGCTGCCCGGTGGAAAGCTGGTAAGATCCAAATCGTTTTTGGAGACTGAAGAAACTTCATTTGCGTTGCGTAGCTGAGGTGCCCTGTGAGCAGTTTTAGAGAACCAGCTAAGGTAGTGGGAATGCAGTTTTTGGTAAAACTCGCACCCGTGCATGCATATCTGCATCAAGAAATGCTCGTAGTGGTGAAATCTGGGGTGGTTTTTACTTTTGTGTTTTTGCTTTCCTTTACTGTTGCTTCCTATTGGCTGTTACTGTACCATCCTTCCAAAAATGCAAAAAGACCTTTTTAAAAAAATGTTTATTCATTTATTTATTTTGAGAGACAGAGTGCAAGCAGGGGAGGGGCAGAGGGAAAGGGAGAGAGAGAGAATCTTAAGTAGGATCCACACCCAACGTTGAGCCGGACATGGGGCTCGATCCCACGACCCTGAGATCATGACCTGAGCTGAAATCAAGAGTCGGATGCTCAACCAACTGAGCCACCCGGGTGCCCCCAAAAAGACATTTTTGAAAGCCTAATTCAAACCTCTTGACAGTTTCAGACCTAAATATTCATTTTGCTCTGGACTATGGAGACAGATGAAAACCATTTCAGTTTTCGTATCTCTGACCCCATGTAATTAGTCGTCAAAGGACTTGGCTTCTGACTCCAGAGAGCCTGCATTCCTCCCTGTGCCTTGCACCCCAGAACCCCCAAAAGATTCTACAGTCTGATCGTGGTCATGTTGAAAGTGACACACAAATTAAAGTTATGATCATCGAGTTGGACAAAACCCCAGTGAATTTTTTTTTTTTTTAATTTGACTTGTTTTTAGATCAGCCTCGGAGAAAAGGAAAAATAATAGAAATATTAAGTAGAGGCTTCTATACTTTTGCTCTTGGGAGCAAGTGACTCTGTTTATTTTTTGCTTTCGGCATTAAAGTTTACAGGCGTGCTCTCTGTGATTATAGATGCGTGATCTACAAAATAATGGGTATTTTTTTTCCCTCAGAGGCTGTGGATTGTGCCATTAGGGGTAAGAATGCTGAAAAGATCATACAATCAGCTGTTTTTCAGTGCCGTTTTCCACCTAAAAGCCTGAGTGTGTTACTTATCAGTGTGCTGCCCTGGGACAGAGCCATGAAAATAGATTAAGTTCCATCTAAGAGACCCTATTTCTTCCTACGTTGATATGAAACATCTTCTCATTGCCTTCCTTTTGGTTCTGCTTCTACGAATTTTACAGCTTCTTTGATCTTACTTGATCCTGAACATAACTTCAAGTGGTATCATGATTCTTACGTGCGGGATGAGTAAATGAGGCTCGAAGTTCAGCTCTCGCCCCCAAGTCCTACAGCTGGTGGCAGGAACGGCCAGGGATGCCTCCTGCCCGTGTCCAATCTCGCTTTGACTACCCAGGACCTTGACAGGTGCTGACCTTTGGGGTCTCATGATTTTATTAAGAAGCAAAGACAGTGCCTCGCCATTGGCTCTAATTATTGCACTCCTGAGATTTACCTTGAGAAATGCCACTGACCTCTGGTCACATCTTTATACTTGTCCCTTCCTCAGAGAAAGGAGAAAGTCAGTAGGACTTCTTCCAAGGAGACAGGGCAGAGATGAACAGGAACTCCTTCCTCATCTGTCTTTCCTTCTTCTCCAGTGAAGTCTGTGATCTTAAGAGCAGGCACTGGCTTTAGGGATCCTTGTTTAAAAAACATCAAATCTGCGAAGAAATTCCGTTAGCCTAACCCTCCTACTCGGCAGGGACTTTATGAAGCAGGGACTCTAGGGGGTCTGCTGTTGGCATATGACTGGATTATCTCAGCATTATGAGAAGCAGGAAAAGGGAAGCAGCCTTTGTTTATTGCTTATAACTGTAATGGCTATAATAGTTGGTAACAACTAGAATGGTGAGGTCTTTCAAAGTTAAACAGGTTTTTTTAATGTGTATTTATTTTATTTTATTTTTTGTTAGAAAAACTTTTTTGACACTTATATATTATTGAGAGACAGAGCGTGAGCAGGGGAGGGGCAGAGAGAGGGGGCACAGAACCCGAAGCAGGCTCCAGGCTCTGAGCTGTCAGCACAGAGCCCGACGCGGGGCTCGAACTCACGGACCGCGAGATCGTGACCTAAGTCAGAGTCGGACGCCCAGCCAACTGAGTCACCCAGGTGCCCCAAAAGTTAAACTTAGTGATTTTTTGTTTTTGAATCTAGTGAGGAGAAACCTGGACAATGAAACTGAAAATCTAGCCTGAACTTTTATATTTACTTGTTAGAGGATTTGGGGTAAATTACTAAACTGCTTCGAGGTTGAGAGTTTCCCCATCAGCTCTGATGAACGGCGCATTGTTAAGGGGCCACAGAGAGGGGTAGTTCTTTGTACTGATAACAATCACTATGATTGCAACCATTTGGTTTTGAAACAGGCGAGATGATTTCAAAAGTCGTATATAAACTGTAAAACATAAAATTCAAAATGCCTGAAAAATATGGTGACAATAATCAGTATAATATTATTATTATCACTCTCCAGCCTGCTTTTTCCTGTTTTGTGTTTCTTCAAACGCTTGCAGAAATGAACGCCTTCTTTCTTCACCCCATCCACCACCTTTCTGTTCCTTTTCCCTTGGTGAATCGCGCTGACTTTCAAAACTTCACATCTTTCATGCCTGATGCCTCCCCGCACAGCCTCCCGGACATACTTCTAAACATGCGCTAAAGATCATTGAAGTATCTAGGTTGTATCTAGGTTGTTTAATCATATGTGGTTTTGTGGGTAAATGGATAAATCAATGGGCGTGGCTCGCCAAGGGTGACCGTACCTAATTGTGGGGTTGTTTTTTGTTTTTGTTTTTGTTTGTCGTCGTCGTCGTCGTTGTCTTTCTATCATAGGGACAATGGAGGCTTTGATGGCCGGAACTGAGACGGTGACAGCGGATGCGTCTGTCAGGACCACACTGTTCGACTATGAGTTCTCGCTGCCATGTGAAAAACTCAACGTCAAGGAGCTGGGCTCCCGCCTCTTGCCCCCACTGTATTCCCTGGTGTTCGTGGTTGGTCTGCTGGGCAACGCGATGGTGGTGGTGATCCTCACAAAATACAGGAGGCTCCGGATCATGACCAACATCTTCCTGCTCAATTTGGCCATTTCTGACTTGCTCTTCCTGTTCACTCTGCTGTTCTGGATTCATTACAGCAGGTGGAACGAGTGGGTGTTCGGCCACTTCATGTGTAAGCTCCTCTCCGGGCTTTACTACATGGGCTTATACAGCGAGATTTTCTTCATCATCCTGCTGACCATAGACCGGTACCTGGCCATCGTCCACGCCGTGTTCGCCCTGCGGACCCGGACCGTCACTTTCGGTATCATCATGAGCGTCCTCACCTGGGGCCTGGCAGGGATAGCAGCCCTCCCTGAATTTATCTTCCATCAGTCCCAAAATGATGCTGAACAGTACATCTGTTTGCCCCTTTATCCAGGAGGCCAAGAGGATAATTGGAAGCGTTTCCATGCTCTGAGCATGAACATCCTCAGTCTGGCCCTGCCTCTGCTCATCATGGCCGTCTGCTACGCGGGAATTATTAGGACACTGCTGAGATGCCCCAATAAAACCAAGTACAAGGCCATCCGGCTCATTTTTGTCATCATGGTGGTCTTTTTCATGTTCTGGACCCCTTACAACCTGGTCCTCCTTCTCTCTGCTTTCCAAACGATCTTCTTTGAGGTCAGTTGTGAGCAGAGCAAATGGCTCGATGTGGCCATGCAGGTGACAGAGGTGATCGCCTACACGCACTGCTGCGTTAACCCCATCATCTACGCCTTCGTCGGGGAGAGGTTCCGGGAGCACCTCAGCCACTTCTTCCGCAGGCACGTGGCCACCAACCTGGGCAGATACATCCCGTTCCTTCCCAGCGAGAAATCAGACCGAGCCAGCTCTGGCTCCCCATCAACGGGGGAACAGGAGCTCTCTTTTGTCTTTTAGGCCAGAAGCGGAAAAATACCTAAAGCGGAGGCGCCGGGCAGATGAAGGAAACACATTAAGTCCATCGCGTTGACTTTAACGCCAGCCCTTTGAACTTCTAGCTCGATGCCGAAACTTGTAAAGACATTAAAGCGTATACACAATGGGGTCAGCAGACCCGTGTGCCCCGGGCGTTAACGGGGGTCACTAGTTAGTCAGTTCACTTGCCGTCCACACAGAAGTTTGCTCGGTTCTCGGAAGAGTTACATCCAGTGTAATGTACCCAAGTGTTAGCTAGTCACTATATGCAGCTATGAGCAGGTAAATCATTTTACAGTTTAAACCTTAACTTTAGCTAGCTGTTGCATAAATGAAACGTATTTCACAAAATACAATAAATCAGTCGCAATACTTTTAATGTGCCTAGCTCTCTCCTTGCTTGAGGAAAAGGCTTTTCCTTCTTTTTTTAGCTTATGTGTATGTACTCTCAGCAGCATAATGGCACGTCACCTTTGTTCCGAGTATTCTTTTTTTTTTCTGAAGTTTATTTATTTATTTTAAGAGAGAGAGAGAAACTCCGACGCAGGCTCCTCACTGGCAGCACAGAGCCCGACGCAGGGCTCAAACTCACGAACCATGAGATCATGGCTTGAGCCAAAACCAAGAGTCAGAAACGTAACCGACTGAGTCACCCAGATAGCCTTCTTCCCTCTTTTTATTTTTTTTTTAAGATTTTATTTTTAAGTAATCTCCACACCTAACACGGGATTTGCACTCACAACCCTGAGATCCAGTCACGCGTTCTACCAACTGAGCCAGCCAGGCACCCCTCCACTCCTGCCCTGAGTATTCTTAATAGTGAATGGATTTCCTGTTTACGCCGAATGACCAAATTTCCCATGAGCGACTCAACAGAAGAATTGTGATTTGATATGTTCAGTGTAGAGAATAAAGGCCCTGCTGGTAGAAACTTCTCAGAGCCCTGCAATGTGCAGACACCGTCCTCTTAAACACCAAGCTCACCGTTCGTCCAGCAACTGTGCTTAAGGTGATGTGGACAGGACGCACTAACATTGCCTTCGGTTAAGTGAAGGATGAAAAAAGTGTGTGAGACAAACAATCCCTGACCTGTGAACTCTTCCATCTGGTAGGGGGTGTGAGACAAAGACAGATGACTCCAGAACGAAGAGGAACACACTCAGGGCTCTGCCTGGGCCAGGGAGGGAGAGACCATTTCTAGCTGGAATCTGAGGCAGAAAGACTTCACGGAGGAAGTGGCCTTTGAGCAGGTCTTTGAAAAAAGGACAGGATTTGGAAAGGGAGGGGATATGGGGGAGACAGCCGAAGCCAACAGAATGCCCAATACAAAGGTGAGGGGGGAGGGCACAAACTCACGTGGACTGTAGGGCGGGGTGGGAAGGTTGCAATGGGCCATGGATTTCAGGCAAAGCATCTTGGGCTTTTCTGGGAAGACAAAGGGGAGAAGAACGATCCTCGTGGTGCATTAGGAAGATAAATCCAGTGATACAGGATGGAGTAAAGACCCCAGAATCATGCAGGGACGTGGGTTAGAAGACAAGGGTACGTGTGAGGCAAAGCGAGATCAATGGCTAATAAGAGAGGGGCCAGAAGGACCCAGAGAGGAATTTGGCCAAGAGGCACCATGACAGAGGAATCAAAGCACCAGGAGCAATAGAAGACTGATTGAAAAGAAGAAAGCAAAGACCAAACAGAATGTATCATATGTCAAAAAGGAAAGAGAAAGAAAGGAGAAAGAAAGAAAGAAAGAAAGAAAGAAAGAAAGAAAGAAAGAGAAAGAAAGAAAGAAAGAAAGAAAGAAAGAAAGAAAGAAAGAAAGAAAGAAGAGACACATGTGGATTATTTGCTGGGCTCGGGTGGGCTGCCCGTCTCTTAAAGGATGGGAAAGGAAGCAGGGGTAGCCTTGGGTGTCTTTGGGAAGAAATGTGAGTGCAGAACACAAGTGTGACTTTCCTCCGAAACCGCTTGTGCCTTTTGGCTTGTGGACTGTGGAACCACATTACCAATGAAAGATAGACACAAACCTTGAGAATTATATATTTAAAAGAAGAAGAAGAAGAAGAAGAAGAAGAAGAAGAAAAGCTAGGCTGCTCTTCAGATGTGGTATCCATTCCACCAGCCACGAGGGCATTGGGAACTTTGAAGTACCTTTGATCTCTTTTGTGGTTCAGCCAGAATGTACTATAAAGAGCAATCATGTGAAGACTTAACTACACGCCACAGGGTTTCCT